GCAACGACTGACGGAAGCTCCGCAGCCAGCTGATTGTGTGTGTGTGTGTTTGTTCGGATGGATCATTCGTTATCTTTTAATTGCTGCGGTGATGTAAACGGTTCAGCTTAAGGCATAAGTGTTTCGGTCATGTTCACACACGAACTGTTTTTTTTTTTAATAGATGGCATGGCTATACGATAGGACAAGACTAGAAAGCTGACCTGATCCGTGATTCTGGTGATCGTATGAGACGGCGAAACTTTATAGCCTGTGCTTCTAGACACGACACATGCTTTTAGGACAATTATGGCATTTCGATGTAAAATGATATGTACGTGATGATTTTACAGAAGACTGTTTTCTTAACGAATGTATTTATCAAGAATTAAACTTTTAACTTCAGTCCAGATGGTTCGCGGGTCCCAGCTCTACATTCTGTGATTATTGGATGTTGGTCTACAGGCAGTGCATAAGCTTTATTATTGATAAATCATTATGGTAGGGACCCCAGACACACCTGCAACTGACTCCCACCAGTGATGTTTACGCACGTTTATTTAGTTTTCCCCCTCCCCCCCCCCCCCGCCACCCCCCCCCCTCCCTGCTCCCAATAGTAACACTGGAAGCCTTGAGATTCTACGAACTTTCCTATTACCAAATGAAGCAGGACATACGAGACTATGGGGTCTCTGGTAAACAATTGAAACAAAAAATCCTGCTATAATTTGAGCAACGACATGAGATACTGGTTCGTCAGGCTAGCTCACTTGCCAGCATAAGTGCTGGAATCTGGAGGCCCCAGCAACATAGGTCTCATCCCGCCAATTTTCCAGTAATTGTTCGAGAGGTCGAGGCTCCACCTCTAGGTCATTTCCAATGGGACTACATGGTCCAGCAACTACACGTATATATATTTTCAGGAAAATGTTTTTACCGTTAATTTTTGTTCTTCAAATATTTGATAATATATAACTATGTGCTAACCACACTATCTTTTCAAGTATATGTTATTACATTTGACTGTTTTTCAAATATATTATAGTATGTAACTCTTCGTTAACCACACGTATCTTTTCAAAGAAATGTTGATACCTTTTATTTTATTTCAGCTACAATATATTATGTAACTGTGCCCTAACAACAAGCATCTTTTCAAGAATATATTTCATCATCATCATCATCAGGTGCCTTGCCGACTGGCGTGGGCGATCATGCCTCTCCATAATCCGCGATCTCCTGCAGCATGTATCAGTTCGTGTGCCGACACACCTCCATGCCATGCAATAAGACTGTCAAGCGTCTTCTCTCGTTGTCTTCCTCTATCCCTCCTTCCACAGATCTTTCCAGTGGTCACAACATGTTCTATTTTCCCTCTTCTCATAACATGGCCGAAAAATAATGACGGTCTCCTTCTGAAGTCAGTGATAAGTTGTCTTTGGGCTCCCGCCGCTTTCCTTTTATTTCAAGTATTTTATCTAAGTGCATTCAGCATTCATTATAATTGTCAATATTATCATTATTTTTGCATACTTAGAAAAAGCTCAAACTCCCAACCTTTTCTAGAAAATTATAATGGGCTCAGGCCCCCTTCTCCTGAATATCCTAGTTACGGCCAGTCTGCAAACCGCAGGGTCACCTGGACTCCTCTAGATCCAGCATATAATTTATGGAAGTTGAAACAGACTGGTGGAGATTTTAAAGTCGTATCTGAGACCTGAGTGAACTGACCTGACACCGAAAGTGGTCACCATGAAAGTAGCCAGTCCCGCCATGAAGATGGAAGCGCTGAAGATCTGGGTCTTGATGTATTCATCTTGCTGTGCACACGTGACTTCAGAAACAATCACCGTGATGGTCAACGGGCGCGCAATCGACAAAAGACCTTGCTGTGAATTCGAGCAGGCAAAAAAGTAAACATGGGAATGCGCATACAGCCAACACCATAACAACAATACACATAACGATATAAAATATTTCCTGGAGAATTTTGTTGTTCTTAAAGGAGAATTGAAGCTAGAAAAGCCCGGCTCGTTAGCGTAGTTGGCTAAACCTGACTTCGCGGCGACCGCGCGACGAACTCAGTGTGTTCCAGGTTTCCGCCTGGGGGTAGGAAAAAAGCCTTATGTCTCCCAGATGTATGGTATCTGCTATGGAATCAAGACAGAAGGGTTGCGATATCCATATTACCGAGCCCAAGGGTTAATAACTCATGGCTTCTGGATACTTTTAGAAAACGAATAAACATTTTAAATGCAAAGGCAGATACAAGATATAACGATCACCGATGATCGTCTATGGCTAACAGTTTACAGGGTACAAGAAACAAAAACAATTATGTCATTTCCACCGGACACCTCCAATATATTTAGGAGAGCATGCCATCTTTCCTGAAGCAACTTACGGACGTGAGTCATAGACTGCCTCAACGTCCTATCCGAAGAAAATATAGACTTTTGTGCTGAAAAACTAAAGAAAGATTATCAGAATACCGTGGACTAAGAAGAGAAGCAAAGTGACATTCTAAAGGATCTGAAAACTAAGGAAAATTTGCTAATAAACAGCATCCTGCCTAGAAAGCTTTTAGAAAGGTTAAACATATCAAGCGCGGTGATTAATTGGAACAATAATAGCAGAAGGCAAAGTACCAGAAAGGTGGTGCGGGGGTCAATCAATACGATGATAGGTAGACGCCTTCGATGTGACAGTGCACCAGGCGGAAAAGCTGGTGAGAGGTGTTTTGTTTTCAGACAGACAGTGATGAGATGGATGTTCTACAAATCACAGCATGTCAAAACACCATTTTTTTTATACTAGACATTATCTACCTTAAGTAAAAGTAAAGTAAAGATCGCTTTTCAAGCCTTTAGTCGGCTCAGTGGACAATATGTCTATACTCAGTGTTGTACACCATCAGTGACAATATGTCCATATCCAGATTTGTACACCAACAGTGACAAAATCTCCATATCCTGAGTCGTACACGGTCAGTGACAATATGTCCATATCCAGAGATGTACACCACCAGTGACAATATTTTCATATTCAGAGTTGGTGCACCATCAGTGACAATATGTCCCTATCCAGAGTTGGTGCACCATCAGTGACAATATGTCCCTATCCAGAGTTGGTGCACCATCAGTGACAATATGTCCCTATCCAGAGTTGGTGCACCATCAGTGACAATATAGCCGCAGAGATGTACCGGAGGAGCAATGGTGTAGTGGCTGGAAGCTTGTCTGTCCGCCCCATGGTCAAGAGTTTTAATCCACACCAAATTGATTGACTTTTTATGTGACCAGTGCACCTAATGTAAAAGTAGACCACTGTAACGTCCTAAAGAGTAAAGGCGACCACATCACCCATCGAGTTTTAGCGGCGGTCTCTATGGCTCGTTTTACAGCTGTGTGGTTCAGTTTACGAGCTCAATATTAATCGTCGCCAGAGCTACGGAGTTCGTGCTTAGTGTGACGCTGTCAGCAAAAAGCGACTGAGCCGGCTAAGGTTGAAAAAAAAAAACAGTGATGCGATGAAGTCGGTCCTCCCAAGTTTAATCCATTGATTGCCAATTAATCTGTAATAATGGCAAACATTTACATAATGACCAGTTTGAACACCGAGTTTGTGCTTTACCGGGAGCCGCGTTAGCGTAGTCGATAGGAGGCTGGCTTTCAAATGCAGATGCGACTCGCTGCAGCCACGGTTGGTGTTCGAAACCAGGCGGTTCCCGGGGTTCACCCAGCCTTTTGGAGAAAGGTACCAGAGTGAAACTCTGGGGTAAATGGAGGAATGTCGCTGTAGCTACAGAGTTACGTGCGGACGGCGACACAAGCGGACAGCTGTCCGTACTGGTTGCAGAGCACATATAGTTTAGAAAGGTGTGCAATGACGCTGGTTCACATCTCCCGACTTTACCTTGTACCTTTACCGAGTTTGTTGGCACAAAGACATTGGCAAATATCTGCCAGACTCATACCAAATTCTTCTGAGTCTTTGTTGAGTCTGCAGTGTCCAGTGGGTAGGCGGTAAATATTTATTTCATAGATAAAAAAGTGCCACCATGTGGATGAGGATCACCCGTGGAAAGGTCCCAGAAACCGAGTTCGGCCATTAGACAATATTTATGGTCAGGCTATATTGCGGCCCCTGGCAAGAGCCAGGGTAGGGCTTCACGTAACGAAAAATTGCATTTTAGAATGAGATGACAAGATAAGGTACAACATGTAAACCTGTTTACCTGCAGAGCCAGGAATATGAGCATGTAGATGGGCGGAGTCTCAGAAATCCTATATATCATGTTGCGACCTACTTCCTTATGAGGACCTGTCTGGTCATGGCCAGACTCTTTGAGACTGCTGACCTCATTCGACACATTGCTGTTGTCCATAACTGTCACACACGTGTTTGTTCCATCTTCAACATCATCAGAGAGAAGTCCCGTAGAAGTATCCGTCTTCTTTCTATTGTCATTATCTCCCTTTTCATCCTCACCTTGTCTGAACTTATCCTCTTCAGCAACTGTGATTTCCAACATTGGCATACGAAACAGCCGAGTATTATTGCTACTCATTATAGAAAAAATGAATTTCTTGGCATTAACTTGAGTTAGTCATTAACTGTAGACGATAAGTTCACTGTATTGCACCCACGATCAGATAAGATAACACACAGTGCATGCCCCAAGTCTGTAACTGACAATTCAAACGTTTGGCTTGCGGTGTAGTTTTGCTGCAGATGTAAAATATCTTTAAAGACCAGATCACTATAAGTAGGATTATGCAGCAGGCATAGTTATTACTGTTCTACATTAAACTAACCACAATTATAATAATTTGTATTAGAATATGCGAACAACAGCTGTACCGACTATGTGTAGTCATGTTCCTCAGTGTTACCGAGGTATAAAGGACGCATTTATAGCTGTATTTTAAATACCATAGCTGTTCATTAGAACTAGAAGCTGAATGTTTGTCGTTTTTAAAACAAAAGTTTATGCTGGAATTTATCCTCTGTCAAGACGTACTGTTGTAAAGGTAAACATTTAATTGCAGCGCTCTTGCCAATGAACGATGCACATCTGCGAGGCTCTTTCTTTAATAACTGCCTTTACGGCAAAGTTAAAATATCTAGTCGATGTAATCAAATTGGTAACCTTTATGACTTTATTACGGTGTTTGAACGAGAGGTCATACTGATAATTTTGGAACGCTTTTGGCTCGATTGTAAAATGTACTGCCAATTGACAAGCTGTGGACAGATCTGTCACTGAACGGGACACGAATAAATGAATGAATGAAGGAACGAGTACATGAATAAATGAATGAAGGAAGAAAAGAAGGGAGGCAAGAAGAAGGGAAGACGGAAGGAAGAAAGATGGAAGGAAGGAAGGAAGGAGTTGACATCCCTGTTTTCAGGACATTCCAACACGTGCTCATTTTCTCTCTCCTTCTTCAGTTCGTTTGTTTGTTCGTTTGTTCTTGAGTAGCCAACAAAGAGCCGATAAGCTGAAAGCACCTGCTGCAACCTGATCAGAAGTCCGTCTATGTTTAGTCTTAATGTTAAACATCTTCCAAGCCCTCTGCTTCCCACCTGCTGAATTAGCCTGTCAGTGAATGGATACCGGTCTGTTCTGTTGCACTGTCCACTTGACCCCAAAGAACCTTAACCACATTCGATTGATTAAATAGTAGCTTACCACCCAGGGGAGTCGCAGTAGCCATCATGACTGAATCCGCTATCAAGGCCTGATCATAAGCAAAAAAACCAATTCGTTGATGTTATTATGTGTTCGTTCCTGGGCTTGGGATCCACGCATATATTGTCAACCTATACTATAAACACCAGTGGTAGTGATAAGAGATTTCACAATCCTACTTCAGAAGTTACTGTGAATGGTTTAAATATTCTCTGATTTATTCTAACTATGCTTCTAAAATGCATATATACATTTTTTGTCGCATTGCGATTAGATATTCGCTCACTCCATATTGAGCTATTATTTTCTACAATACGTATTCAAATACCTTCGCCTGATCTACAAATGCCATGTCAAAGATCTTTTGCCTGCCGTTGCGGCATGTGACTCGTCTTGTTGGCCCGGGACATATAAATATATTTTACAAACACTAAACCCAAACACCTACAGAGCACACAACAATCTTTAATTGAAAGAACTATATAACTGCACGCAGTTGACCTCAGAACTGGTGAGTACCCCTATCCGAAACCAAGGACGTGAGGGCTTTTAAAATCACCCCTCACTCCTATCACGTTCTCGTGAAGAGTACAGGGCCCAAAACTGTGCCTTTTCTGCAAAGCTCTAACGCTGTCGAATGAACAGCAACCCCCCCATCTGCCACATTGGGAAAGGGTCCAAAAGTAAAACCCCAAACCGTTAAATATTTAAACTTTGTTTTTAAATAGGCCAAGCAAAAGTTAGATAGTTTTTCTTTTGTTGGGGGGGAGTCCTGTGGGAAAAAATCCATATAAAACCCCTTTTGAAATGACTCTTTTAGGTTTTGAGTGTTGAATTAAATGAGGACACATTTTTACGCCTATTCAAAAATAAATTGTCTGACCACGCACTGCATTAGTGGGGCCGGGTTTTAATACCCCAATCGTGGGTTAGGAAAGTGTTTGTGGGGTTTCACTTCCTACACCGGTTTGGAGGCAGGCTTTTTTTCCTTGTGTCTCGCCGATTGACCGTTTTTAAAGACAGTTTCCCTTTATTTCTTTTTTTTTTATCATGGGAAAATTTTTCTTAAGGATTTTTTAAATTGAATATTTGCTTTCCATAGGTCTGGGGTTTAGGTAAGAAAGGGGACAGAGTGGATAATCAATCTG